CCTACATTTCTATGATTCTTCTAGTTTGTGGGACTTCTAGTGTTGAGTACCAAGGCTTGAAGTTACTAGGGGTGATAGAGGGCTCAAAAGAGTTAGGGACACAGGCACCACTGTCCTCAGGACCCTGAGCAGGGGTCTGGAAAGGGAATGGCCCCTGGGAGCACTGTTGCAGGGGTAGGATAGGGAGCATCTGCTGTTGTTCCAGCTGTTTACAAATGGCACCTATGACACCGTGCCCACACTCAGAAGGGGCCCCGGCACATGGACCACAGCCCCACCCGCCTTCTCGGCCTGCGCTCTGCCCTGATGCCCTGCCCCCATCTGGCCTCTTCCCCCCGCCCCCGAGGCCCTGCCCACTCCTCTCTGCCCCTCCCCACTTGCAAGTGGAGCCTTGGGGAAGAGGCCGAGGGGGCAGGGCCTCGGTGCGGCATGCAGGTGGAGAGGGGGGTGGGGGGCCCACAGTCCAGGGCCCACAAACGATTAATCCAGCCCTGGTTGTTCCGAGTAGCCTGTACTGTCCAGGGGCTGCAGTACACGGCTGGGTGTTGGTTCGCAGTACCGCATTGCCCACTGCCCTCATTAGTAACACACTGCAATGTGGTACTTGGGCTCTGCCTTTCCCCTTTTCCATGCTGTCTGTGGCGGTTGCCAGGGAAAGCATGGTCACTTCAACAATTTTTTTTTTTTTTTTTTTTAAATTAATGGAGATATCCCTTCTCCTAGAACTGGAAGGGACCTTGAAAGGTCATCGAGTTCAGCCCCCTGCCTTCACTAGCAGGACCAAGTACTGATTTTGCCCCAGATCCCTAAGTGGCCCCCTCAAGGATTGAACTCACAACCCTGGGTTTAGCAGGCTACTGCTCAAACCAGTGAGCTATCCCTCCCCCCCCTCACTGGAAAGCTCCCTGTCTGATCCCTGCTGTCCTCAACCACTGTCTCCACCTCTCTGCATTTTCAGGGGTGGTGGTTTGGGACTCTAATGATGTTTGTGAACAATTCATCAGGAGCTTTGCGATTTTCTCCCCCTTCGTTTTCCTAGCCACTCAGCTATTGAGGAAGGTCTAAGCCAGTGCAGGTTCTGTTGCTGAGGGCTATTAAAACAATGACAAGTGTTCAGATTATAGTGAGGCTGGGCCAGCAATTTTTTAAGATGCATTTCTGGCTCTATTTCCCTGAGATACTTCTCAGTCTAGGGGGAACCTGAGAGCTGGTTAAATGGTGCGTGCATTGTTTGCTTTTGCAGTTGTGCCTTGGAGGAATGAGGTGTGTATGAAATATGTTCTCAGTCTGGGGAGGGGAATTATCAACCTGGTCTGGCTTTGCAGGTTTGCTGTGCCTTGGAGGGCATTGTCGTGTCAGAGGGCTTACAGGGATAAATCGGGGGGGGCAAGACAGAGCGAGTAATCCCTTCTACATCCCCTTAAGGCTGTCCTGATTCTGAATGACATTACACTGAGGTGGGTGACTACAAGGCAGAGAATGATCTTACTTTAAAAAAAAGACAAAGGGCAGCCCAGCGAGATACACTCCAAAGTTATTCACCAACAGGGTCGCTCCAGAAATGCTGCAGGAGTGGGAGTCAAGAGCAATCCCCGGTGGGGGGAGATGGCCATGCAGCCAGTCCTCATACTCGCCAAACAAAAACAGCCGTTTTCCTCAGCCTTAGATTTTAACCTTATCTCCCCAGCAAATATGCTAAACGTGTAGAGAAAAATGGACAGGATTTTGCAATGATTCCGTGAAGCCCGCACTGTGACCAGTCTAAATGTGTGTTACCGGGCATTTATAGCCCAGGGGAAGTTGTACTCTTCATAGCTTTACAGGCATTCAGTGTCCATGTCTACTGCCTGTAAAGTGAGAACACCAAACTTCTTTTCCTGTAAACCAACTTTTGCACTTCACACAAGAACGCTTTCCTTAATTGAAACTGCCATGGACTGGGGAGGGGGGCGGGACAGTTAGGGGGGAGGGGGGGAGAAGTGGTAGGGGCTGTGGGCACCACCATAAGGGGGTTTATTATTTTGGGGGGGGGGAGGGGGGGGGGGGGGGGGGGAGAAGAGTTCACTGGGTAGGACAGCTAGAGGGGAAAGGAAAATAGGTACATGGGCTTGTGCCTTTCATGATGTGGGCCTGAGAATGGTTGGTAGTCAGGGCTTTGGCATGAGATGGACATGTTGCTTGGTCAGAGTTGTGGGGAAATAGAGCAGGAGGGGCCTTCTTTTTAATAGCCAGAGCTGTGAATCTGAAGGCCCAAAATAAACCCTCCAACAGAGATCTGTTATGCTGACTGCCCTTACACAGAAAGCAGTACAGGCCAGGGCCCGAACTAGACTAGACTGCACAATTCCCTGCCAAACTCGGTCAAGGGTCATGACCAGAGGAAGGGGGCGGGGGGCAAGGAGGGAAAGAATAAAAAAAAGCCCCAGCAGCAGCACTAATGAAATATAATAACCGCTTGTGTGAAGCAATAGGTAACTTTAGCTAAATGCAATTTCTTAACTCATGCAGCTTCTTCTTTGGGTGATCTGTGACCCACTCCGTGATTCCAGCTGTCTGCAAAAATAGCCAATCATAGATCCTCTTTAGGCATCCC